ACCAGTGCAGGACCTCAGTGATAGTGGTCAGTACAACCCCATCATGCTCACCAACATCCCCACTCTGCATCTGCAATATCTGCTTCCACCTGATTTATAAATTTAACATTCCCACTGGAATGGGAAAAAAAAAAAAAAAACGGCAGCACAAATAAAAACTTAAAAAATAGATTATAAACTCCTGGCAGAAGGAACGGATGCAATGTTTGCACAGAAATCTTTTACTGCAATTCTTTCTTGTTTTAAAGATCACTGTTTTTCAGCAGGTCTGGTGATCTTGGGGGATTGAGCAGGAATCATGGAATGCTGCACACTTAAACTGTTCTTTGAGCGTTAATGGGATGTTAAAAAAAAGGACAAACTGGGATTTAGCAAAGAAAAGGACTTGATGGCCTTAAAGGTCTTTTCCAACTAAACAATTCAATGATTCTATATCTACAAAAATCCGGTAAGATCTGTAAATTATGCCTGGTGATGAAGAGCTGAGGAATTTTCTGACCAGTTTGCTACATCACAGACTGATTTAAGGGACGAACCATCCTCATCCGTAGGAATTGATGTGATGCTGAGGCTTCTGATGGTGCATTTTTAATCTCTCAGCAAAAAAAAATCCCAAGATTTAACAGTCAAATTAAGCCTAGAACCAAAGTGCTTCATTCCAGCTTGTGCCACTGTACCAGTTACCTTGAGATGAGGAGATACTTCATCACACATGGCCTTTATTGTCATCCCAAAATACATTTTATCCCAGAAGCAGAAGTTACAGATTCGATGTAGGCTTTGCCCTTCTCTGCTGTCAGCCCAAAGTATGATCTGACTGATATTCTGAATATCTCAGTTCCGTACTATTCTCTCTAGAGGAACTTCAGGACAAAAAAATAAAATTAAACTGTCCCAAACTGACACAAACAGCATTTATTGCAAACCACCAGGCAAAAAAAAAAAAAAAATTCTGTTTGAACTAACTGAAATTTTTGTGGGGATGAATCGTTTGGAAATTTCTTATTTCTGCTGGCCTTCCTAATTTAATTTTCTTGCTATCTCTAAATTAAAAATTGAGATTAAGCGCAGACCTGTTGGGTTTCAAAATTATAAAATAGACGACCCTAACAATTTTCAAACTTTGTTGTTGTAAGGAGGGGACTCCTTAACTCTGATCCTCTCCTGGGAGTGGTTTTATTYTCCACAAACTGGCCCTTCCCGAGAACATGAAGGAGTTACAACAGGAGAATCCTGTAGTTCTCAGTCATGAACCGTTTATGATGCTAAATATTTCATAAAATTCATAAAACACTTCGTAGACACTCCTAAATTTCACATTTCCTCAGCAGCGCTTATCCGAGCGGCGTTTCCTTTGCACTTGGGCACACAAATCCAGCTCTGGGTTGTGTAACCMGGGGAAAATTCTGCAATTCTGCCCAGATTTCCATCACAACATCTCCTGTGAGTTGTGCAGGGATGTGTCCAGCCCCTGAGTGACGGATGCACTCACCTGAGAGGCTCCGGTGGAGGAACCGGGGATCGGAAAGCGCCTCGGGGAGGGAGGTCAGGTGAAGGTTAATCGAAGGAAATGACAGTTTGATGGTATGCACGGCCCTGGAGATCACATATGGGGATCTGGCTGGGAAATATTTAACTGTTTTATCTCTATTTAGGCAGAAAGCAAAATAAAGAGCACGAAAAGGCAGAATATGAGGATGGCCCTGAGCCTGGCAGGGCTGGCACCGGTGGGATACAAATATTCCAGTTGGGAGGCACAGAAAGCCAAAAAGTGCCAGTTCCTCTCGTGGTTTCATTTACATCAAACATTTCACTGCCATAAAACACAGCACAGTAGCCTGGCAGGCAGGGGAATTCAATAAACCTCTCGTTTACCTTGCTCCCATGTTTATCCCAATATTTATTATTCTTCTCCCAAAACAGGTGCTGGAGTTAAGAGGGGAAACCACAGCTGGAAAATGCTGTGGGAGCCTCAGACTTATTTGTGTCTTGTAATGAACTTGGCCTGGTCACATTCCTGCCTTGTTTACGTTTCCTTTCCAATAATTTTCGTGCATTCAGAATTTTACTTTCGAGAGTTCTTTCAAAACCTGATTTTAAGCTTCCGTGGGATTTTCAAATACTCTCTCCTCAAATATTTAATCATGAAATTTATTCTAGTATTTGTCCTCAATTAATTGGGGAATTAAACCAGTACCACCTGACTGATCAATCACAAATACAYAACACACCCTGAATTCTGATTTCTACTTTTGATTAACAAAAAAAAAAAACCCAACGAACTGATAGAAAAATTTTGAGAAACCTTTTTTTTTTCACCCTTCCTGCAGAATAAGAGGCAAAATTCACCGAGTGAATTATTAATTCTGAGTTATTCATCCAGCCCTACTAAAAACTAATCTGTTTCTTTTTTTTTAAGCATCAAAAAGGTCTTTCAAACGGAGGTTGCAATAATGAAATATGGCAGCAGATCTCGAAACGTGCCCTCAGCCAGGCTGTGGATACGGAAAAGGTTACGGAACCAGAGTTATTAATCCCCATCACTCTGACAATTGATTTTGAACACAGTCTGTTGGAGTCTTTATAATGCAAGATCATAAATGTTCAGAACTAATTTATTGCTCTTTGTTCCACCTGGCAAAAACACACTGTCAGATTGAGTTGTGCTGACACAACAGCGTGGAGAAGGATTTAAGTCATAGTTTTATCCACATTTGTGAATTTGTTTGCCATACCTGTGTGTGATCAGGAAAAAAAGGATTTAGGAACATTCATGAAGGAGTTAAAACATCCATAAAGAAGGAAAAACAGAGGACGAGGTTATGTTGCCTTTGATAAATGGGAAATGTTTGCACAAATAGCCATACATTTGAAATTTAACAGGGAAAAGTCCTTGTTTGGATTTRTCAGCATTGATATTTTTGGTTTGCACCCTTTTCCCTGGTATCTCTCAGATTTCCATAAGTAAACATGTGAAAACATTTGCTTTATTCACATATTGACTTCCACACCAGGCAAGGATTCCCCACACACCAACGAAGGACATGCAAAACATCTCATCCTACGTGGCTTATTCCTTTTTTTTAATCAGTAATTTCAGAGCCTGAACCAATTCCATCCGTCCTGAAAATTCCTCAATTTGACTTTTCTGCCTGCAGCAGTTGCCACCACTCTTGTCCATGCCAGGGAAGTGCCAATCCCAAACAGGGACAAAGCAGGAAAGGAAAGGAGAAGGAACCCCTTCACACTGACATAAAACACTCATTTGTAAAGATTAAGAGGTTTTTTTAGGGATCAAAAAGAATATATTACAAGRAAGCTTATTTTAATAATTGTACCCTGTTCCATAGACCAAGAATTCCATAATGGATGAATTACAAGGTTTCCAAAGCCCTGCCTAAGCAGGGAACTGAAACATGAAAAACAGAGATGGGGAAGAAAAACCRAAGAGAGTTTCCACATCAAAAGTGYTCCTATTCCAATTTCTGCTTCCCAGTCTCCAAAGTACTTTTTTCRGTAGAAAGACAAACTTGTAAAATTACTATTCTCTTCAAAATAACCACACAATACTTCTTTAATGACACTTTTCCCTCTTACAGACTCCACAGTCCAAGAATATAAACTTCGTCCTTCCATTATCTGGGGGCAGAATCATTTAATTGTCCTGGCAAGTTTATTCCTTTTKAATTCTTATTTTTACCATGATGATGAGCTAGGAGAGCCGTGGCTGCATGCTAAAACTGCTGCATTCAGRACTTGTAGGCATCTGTATGATATTGAAATTAATTTCCAGTATAAAACAGTTAACAGAATAACCCCAGATAAAGGCAAATATAATATTAMTTCCATTCTTTTTGTTGGCAGTGTTGTAAAGTCCATTGCTCAAGTAAAGASCACTTTGCTGAGCCAGATACAAATTAATTTTAGCATTCTTCTTCAAATAGGAATTTCATAAGTCAAGTAAAGGCTACAACAGCTTTGAAACATTTCAGTGATTGTTTTAATTACCCATCATAGAGCCGTGAGACACTGCAGAGGGAGGGGTGCAGAGGGGAGGGAGAACAACACCTGGCCTATTAACAATTGTTTTTTCTGACATAAAGAAGAAAAAATACTTTCCAAGCCCTCAGACCAACAAAAAGCTCAACAAAGTCAACACAGATCGGGGTTTTGTCGCTGTATTAATGCTGTGATTTTATCCTGGACTACGTGTTCTTATTCTGTCAATAACAACTTGGGCTGTTAAATAAACCCACCAAATCTCCAAACATTAAATATATGAATTCTGACAGCTTTAAAGCTTGTTTTTCCACCCAAAGCTGATGCACACGTGGGGCTGCTTTCCAGGGTCTGGCTCTACAGCAAATAAAAGGTCACTTTGCTTTTACCACAGCCACACAAAAAAAAAAAAAAAAAAAGGATATCTTTTGTCATTCCGACCCTAAATAGAAATGAAAACTGGAGGTTATTGGGACTCCTGCTGGCCTTTGACACCCAGCACCTCGGGAATCAGCAGTGCTGGGGTAAAAAAAAGCCCCCTCAGATGCAGAGTTGTCATCCCCACCCTCCATCTGTGGCCGTGCTGGGAGGAAGTGCTGACCCCATCATTCCACCGTAAACACTGCCGGAATCAACAACAACAAATCCAGAAATGAGAAAGGAAACGGGGTGTCAGGAGTCAGGTCAGCCCATTTTATTTGCACATGTGTCAGTAAAGATAGAAGGAATCGCTGAATTAAATTAAATCAAAGCAAACCTGCTAATTAAAACAGCTAAAATTATGTTTGTGAAGATGTGTGACTGGTTTCCTGCTTATCTGCAAATAAGCCTCCCCATAATATAAACATGTTTCTATCTCCACTTCATTTATAATAAGTCTTTAGGCAGATTGTAATTAGTATTTTGAGTTTCTAATGGAAGATCTATTGTGCTGCTGGAGCAATATTTTCCCTGACCATCAAAATACTGATTATTTCTGCTTCAGTCTCGAGGGTTCTCACCTGTTCTTCTCATGCTGGTCAAAATCTCGCATCCAATTTATCAGAATCAAATTGTTTGGGTATTTGTCTGAGCACCATCATCTTCATAACRTATTGCTTGCAGTTAACCACTGTTTTCAACTCCACCTACAAGCCAAACCASAAATTATTACCAGTTCTGCTTGAATTTATCCTGCAGTTGGATTTTCATCCAACATTTAAAGAATGATTATGATAGGGAATGGGAAAATGGAGTCAAACAGAAGTTTTGCATGAAAAAAAAAATGGTGCTATTTACAAAAACCAACTTTTTGTTTCTGTTTTACTTATTCCCAAGTTTGCAGAGCATAATTTTACACAAACCCAATTACATAGCTCAGTGATTTACTGGCAAAGCTGGCCAGGAGAAAATTATCTGGCTTTAGCTAATGTGTGTGCCTATTTACAATCAAAACAAACGCAGAGAAAATTGCAAAATGGCCACGAAGAAAAAAAAAAATTGTCACGTCAGAAACACACCAGAGGTGACACAGTCTGCCAGCTGAAAAAAGTTCACCTTGGATCATAATTTCACTGGATGAGGGACAAACTGAGGTTGGGGGTCAGGATCCAGCCTCTCAGATCAGGCACTATTTATTTATCCCAGTATTTACCTCGAAGCATTTCTGGGGTTTTACTGCTTTGGAAAGAGTGGTGTTTTCTTTTTGCCCTTTCCATCCTTTTTTTAGGGATTACTCTGCACAGTTAACGGGTGTGTGGGCTCTGTTCACTGGGGTAACTCAGCTGTTTTCAGCTCCCCTGGTACAGGGCAGGTTTTGGGGTGCAGGTGCAGGTTTTGGGATGTGGGTTTTGGTATGTGGTTTTTAGGATGTGGGATTTGGGATGCAGGTTTTGRGATGTGCATTTCAGGATGCGAGTTTTAGGGTGCAGGTTTGGGATGCAGGTGCAGGTTTTGGGATGCAGGTTTTGGTATGTGGGTTTGGGATGTGGGATTTTTGACAAGGGATTTGGGATGTGGGATTTGGGATGTGGGATTTGGGATGTGGGGTTTGGGATGCAGGTTTTGGGATGTGAGTTTTGGGATGCAGGGCTACAAGTCCACAGAGCTGCTTGTGCATCCCAGTAACGGGGGCTGAGCAGATTTTGGGATCTTTTTGGAGAAGAAGATCATAACCTGCACTGATATCTGTGTTTCATTTATGCTGACAAATCCTGCGGTTTTTGTTGTTGAACCCTTTCTGACCCAACACAGAACACCTCGAGGGAAGCACGGGATCGTTTTCCATTCGTAGCGAGTGAAATTTCTGAGACAAAAATATAAACCAAACCTTTAGGTGTTTTGATCACACTGCAAATGATTTCAGATTATTGTATCATTTTCCCTGGCTCTTGGCCCAACCCTTCAGTCAGAGATTTTACTGGAYGTGGCCCAGAGTTCATTTACTCCTTCACCTCCAAGCAACAGCTTCCTAAAAATACAGCAAATTGCAAATAGGCTAAACCCCAAATTTCGCTGTAATTGCATGTGCCAGCACTAAGTCCTYCATCAATAAGAAACCCCACTGATGTCAGCAGGACTTGTGACAACACAAGATTTGCCTCCCTTCAGCACAGCTCTGGAACCGGATCGTGGGCGAGTGCATTTGAATGATGTGGATTATATATGATTAAACAGATTTGGATTAAATCACAGCAATGGTTGTCTCCTCAAGAACACCCTGTTGGGACCACACGGATGTGCAGCARTCAAGGTGACCTTACAGACTTTTACAGCCCAGAGCAAACTCTGAAAACTTCYGTGAGCAGGGAYGATTTTTTAAAWTTTTTTTTAAGCTCTGCAAAGATCAGGTTGCAAAATGTAAGGAGTTAAAATGCTGCTACTCTCATGAAAAGTTTTCATGCCTTAAAATTATGATTTGGGTGACAAAGAGAAWTTTTTCTTGCAGGGGAAGCCAATCTGAGCTCGACTCCTTGAGCTCTGTTTGGTTCATCGGGATGGAAAACACGGCTGGCTCTGCCTTGTCCTAACATAGGAAAAATCAAATAAGGGAGAATGATGTCTGAATGCAGAAATCCACCAAAATGCCACCAAATCCTAGCTCACCCTCCACTGCATCGCTGCATTATCTCACATAATTGTTTAAAAATATCCCTATAAAATCTTACTTTTTATTGCTATGGCCAGTCTCCATTTAACCCAAAAACACAATCTCTAATTTCTTATAGAAGCGTGCACTAGGATCAGCCATAAATCACAGAAACTGCTTTCTTCCTTGCTGGAGAACTCAGTCAGGAAGAAAAACTGGAGAAATKACTCTACAGTAACTTCTACCTCACTCTAGCAGGAGTTTAACTCCAAATGCTTCCCATGATTCTGGAATTCCTCAACCCTTGAGCAGCCTGGGAGCATCTCCCTGCAGATGCTGATCCGCAGCCCCGGATCTCACGCAGGAAACTTTTGGCAAAGGCACCCACAGAGGTCMTGAGGGAGGGAGGCAAAAAGGCCGAGCGGATATGAAAAGAGCCAGGTTGCCAAATTCCGAGGGTTTGGCAGAGAAACAGAGATAAACTAATCAGCAGCACAGCTTTCCTGCGCCGAGGCTTTCTGAGCTCCACGAGGAACCCCGCGCCTCTCTCCYTTGGATTAAGAAACCCGGGAGTTCCTGGATCCAGTGATAACATTGAAGAGGGAAAAGGAGAACAAGTAATGGGAATACTTTCCTGAAGTTTGCTTCGASTTATCCAGCAGCTCAGGAAGGTTTTCAGCCTGAGATATTTTATAAAAATTTCCAAAGGCTCGGGAAGGCTCGGGGGTGGGAAGCTGTTATATAATCCCTTAACACCTCCCCGAGTTTGTGCTGCTTTCTCTCCCACGTGGACCCYGTAGTAAACATTGTGCTCTGAACCTCTGGATTCACTCTGGAGCTGCAGGACTGGGCTCGAGCAGCCAAGCTGTGGTGGAGCCACAGGTCTGGAAACTTCCTCGCCTTTAGCATCATCCTCTCCCACCCCGTCCTCTCCTCCACCAAGGACATTTTTAGYAAGATTGCTCTGCAGCTAATTGCATTGCCATGGCATCCGAGCACCACACAGTCACGAGACCTTCCTCTTTTAACAGCCCTGGGCTTTGCAGGGAGGAGTTCACGGGGAAACATCGCTTCATTTGGGGAGCTGAGGGACCGGGTCAGAGCCTGTGCCCATCACCAGGCAGAGAATGCCCRGTGCCAGAGTGACCAGGACACCASAGYAGSTGTGTGGCCACCAGCTCAGCCAKCCCTGTGMCCTCAGAGCWGCTCCCAGCAGGCAGCACTGGGGCTCCAAGAGGAAACCTTGAGGAAAGAGAGACAAATACCCGCTCAGCACGGGTGCTCTGCATCCTCCAGCAGTGCCAGCAGCGTTCACTGCAGTGCCAGGCTCAGCTGGTGACAGCAGAACCCTTCTGCAGGAGCCCTGGTGCCCTGCTGTGCA